TCCAAAGGTATGCTGATCAAACAAAACTTCCTCTCTCTTCAAATCTTGCCAAACCAGCTTTGCTTCATCTACCTTTCTGTTTCTAGCAAGCATCACTAGCATGTCCCTGTAAAAGTACATGTCAGGTCGGTACCATATTTCCTTGCGCACTACATCATATAGCTAAAAATAAAAAGATAAATCAGAAGTGTGAGTGTTCATATACAAAATAATAATAATAATAATAATAATAAATAAATAAATCGACACAATCCACACAAGTTTAGTCCAATAGAGTTGGAAATTCCTGATCTTTTAATAACATGGGAAAGCCAAACTACTAATTCAATTTCTAATTCTTCCTTTATCCATCTGTCTTCTTCAAATTGAAAAATGGTAAGCAAGCACTATATCCTTTCCAGAAGGGGACATTCAACAATGCAGTTCTATGACTCAAAAAACTAAATACACTTACTACTTAAGGTAGGTGATAACTTCACCAAGTGCCATTTTTGTCCAGAAATTAGGATTTTTATGCCATATATTTGAATGAAATAAGTTATGACAGCCATGACTTGTACCCACTGTTAACTATTACATAATAAGATTCATTTCCTGGAGTCCTGAGTTGGGTACTTTAAGAATTGCCATCTTTCTCAGATTCATTTGAGTTTCACTTTCCCATTCAACATCATTATTTTTCACACTCATCTTCAACCTAAAAAACCCTCCATCAAATATCTCCATACATTAAGTTCACTGATCCTGGCTGACTCTAAAGAATATTTTCACATTTCCTGTTGAGTTTTTAAGTTGCATCCAATAACTTATCCCTGGTTTGACACCAATTATGCTAAAGTCACCCATTTCTAGAACTAGAACCATCTGGGTCCATGCAATCTGCAAGACATGTTATACTTAACCATATTTCCATCTGACAAATATGAGTCAGTATATGAGAAAGTGGAAAGATAGACTGATACAAACAAAGGATCAGAAAGGAGAAAATCCAATTACTCTTTCTCATCTCCACCCTCTCCCTCCTAATCCCTCCCCACCCCTCCCTAGTTTCAGTTGAGACATCCAACATGGAGGCCAAAGCTCTTTAACTGTTGGTACATCCCTTAGGACACTTTTACATTAAGTTATTACTACCTACATTTGTAAAAGACTTAAAAGGTTCATGATTACACGTAAAGTAGTACCTGTAAGGTAAGATCCTTGAACACAAGCACACAATGAAGTACAAGTATCAGGAAACAAGCACCAATTCCCAATCTATAAACGTGGGAGGTATGCTAAGTGCTAACATTCTTTAGAGACAG